AGGAGGGGGTGGGAGGGTGGCTGCTGCTGTTCCTTGTCCTCTGACCCTCCCTAGCCCACTCCGGCCACGCTTCTCTCTCACCCTAAACACGGGCCTAGGTGAGTCCAGTCCCCCCCAGCTGCGGTTACTGTTTCTGCACCCAGGGCTCTCTCCTCCCCAGCTCAGCCCAACACCTTGCTCCTGACTCCAGGTCAATGTCCAACTGCCTCCAGAAACCCCCACAAACAGTAATGGTCCCCCCACATGCCCCCAATGCTGATACCCCCTCCAGGCTGTCCTCTTCAACTGGGGTTCAGGCGACATCGCTCCCCCATTTATAACCCTCCAGGGCTTCCTGATCCCCTTAGAAGAAAATTCAGAGTCCTCTCCACAGCCTACAAAGCCCTGGGGGTCTGGCGTCACCCCCTTGCTAACTGCTTCTCCTCCCCCCTTCTTTCCCTCTCCCCCTCACTCCTGAAGCTCAGCTGCACCGCCCACCCTGCTGTTCCTCAGACACTCTTAAGCTCCCTCCTGCCTCAGGGCCTTTGCACTGGCTGCTTCTCCTCCCAGGAGTGCTCTCCCCCAGACCTTTTCATGGCTGCCCCCCTCCTCCTCCAGGGGCCTTCCCTGACCCCCTCTCTAGAATGGGAAGCTCACCCACCAGCCTAAGCTAGGTTCCTGGCTCAGGCCAGAGAATCGGTTCCAACCCAGGCCCCCAGCTCTTTCTGCTGCACCACATGGGCTGGTGGTATTGGGAAATCCACAGGCTTTGGGGCCAGACTGGCTTGAACCCCAGCCCTGCCACTTCCTAGTTGGGTGAACTTGGATGAGTCACTTTACCTCTCTGAATCTCTGTGTTCTAACCTGTAAAATGGGCTTCTGCGGGGATGAATTGGGAGAACGTTCATAAAAGGCTTTGTCACCTCCAGGGGGCTGCCTGTGTGCATGGGGTCGGCCTGTCCTGTGCCAATTCCTCCTGTCCTTCGATGTTCTGCATAGCTGCCCCTGGCCACCCAGGCCGGCTGATCTCTCTCCCTAAAGCCCCACCGGCCATGTGGCACCCAGGACAGGAGGGAAGGGGGAAAGCAACGAGGTGCTCAGTCCAGGGGATGCGGGCCTTGGAGGGAGGAGGGTGGCGGGTTGCTACCTTCCCCCTCGCTGATGACCTTCCTGTCCTCCTGGGGGCTGGAGGGGCACATGGCGGAGATCCACCGCTGCTTCTCACTCCTGGGGAAGGGATGTGAGTTATCACAACACGCAAACTGCATTTCCCAGGGCCGGGGTGGTGAAAGGGCTGGGAAAACGGGGAGTGACGTCCAGACCAGGGCCCAGGTCGTGTCTTCCCCACCCCGGGACGCACCTCACAGCCCTGTGCCCTCTCCCGCCCTGAGCATAAGAGCAGAGCAGGCCCAGGATCCCCTGGGTGCCAGCTCTGCCCATGTCCTGCCTTAGGCCGCCAGAGAAAAAGGCCAGCGCCTGCCTGGGGCGGGGACCCCCCAGGCCCACTCACTCCGTCCGGGCCCTCAGCAAGAACTGGTGCTTGGCGTGCTGCCCGTGGAGGAGCTGGAGGAGGAACACGTGGCCAGGGATGCCCTGGGGCTTCAGGCTCAGGTCCTTCACCTGCAGCTCGGCCATCTTGGCGTGGACGAAGACGGCGAACTTCCCGAGCCTGCAGGACCGGGGGCGAGGTCAGCCGGCCCGGCCCGGGCTCCCAGCCTCACCTTCAGGACCGGCCGAATTCTGATGAAAGGGAGACGAGCTGCCCTGGCCGGTGTGGCTCAGTTAGCTGGGCGTCGTCCTGCGCATTGAAAGGTCGCCGGTTCCGTTCCCGGTCAGGGCACAGGCCCGGGTTGCAGGCTCGATGCCCAGTAGGGGGCGTGCAGGAGGCAGCCCATCGATGTTTCTTTCTCATTGACGTTTCTATCTCTCCCTCTCCTTTCCTCTCTCTTTAAAAAAACTTAAAAATATATATTAAAAAACAAACAAAAACAAAAAAACCCTGACCAGGTAGTCATCAGGATGTATCCTCACTGGCCTGGGGGCTGCTGTGAGCACACAAGTTCCACCCATCTCTTTGTCCCCAGCACCCATCGGAGGGCCCGGCACAGAACAGGGGCTCAGTGGTGCTCTAATGAATGAACAAATTAAATCAGGAATGAACTCCTCCCATCGCAGAAGACGCCGTTCTTCATCCACCCAGCCTCAAAGGCCTCCCTCACTCAGGAAACCGTGTCCATCACCCCAAGCTTATAATAACCACAGCGAATGCGAGCGAGCGTTCACCACGTGCCACGTTCTTTCCCTGTATTATTATCACATGCCCGGTGGCCTCTGTGTTGCAGATGGAAGGCAGGATGGCGCAGTGGTTACGAGCTGGGATCGGGCATCAGACACACCTGGCCTCCTGACTCCTGCACTCAGCGGCTCCAAGACGCTGAGGATAACAAGGGAGCCTACGTACCAGGGAAGTACTAACAGGACAAAAGGGAATAATCCAGAGCAGGCCTGGGGGGCACAGGCGCACAGCGAAGGCTGGCTGTTGTCACCGTGACTCAGGCGGAGCTGGGGCTCCAGGGCTGTGCTCTTAATCCCTGCTCTGATCGGCTCAAGCTCAGAGCAGCTTCCAGTCCTTTGTACAGAGTCTGGCCCTTGAGTCTAGAAGATGAGCTTGCCCTGAATCTCTGCCTTTCCTGCAGGAGCCTCCCAGGCCCACGGTGCCGGCAACACAGCCTGGCACAGGCTGGGGCTCCCCGGCCCAGGAACGGACTGGTTGGGAGCCCACTACTGGGGAGCAAGGGAGCCCAGCTCCGATCTACCTTCCCGCACACCCTGCCCGACTCACTCCTTCCGCCGGGAGAGAAGCAGGCAGTCGTTGAAGAGGTGCAGGTAGACGGCCTTGCTGGACAGCTTCAGCTTGGCCGGGGGTGCCGCGGGCAGCGGTGCCAGCTCCACCAGCTCCCCGTGCCGCACCAGCCAGCGTGCCTGGGAGATCAGAGGGAAGATCTGGGAGGGCAGAGAAGGCAAAGACGGGACGGGTCAGGCCCAGGGCAGCAGGGCAGAGAGCACGGGCCAGGCAGGGCGGGGGTGGGCAGGGATGAATGGCCAGCAGCCCCCAGGGAAGGAGGGAACCGGAGCTGCCCTCTGTGTGCCCGTCCCGCCCGCTGCGGGCATGTACCTTGCCCTCAAAGTGGATCTTCTTGCTCAGGTGGATGAGCTCCTCTGTTCTCTTCATGGACTGCACGCTGGCGTTGCATTCCTGGACCAGCTGGGGAGGCCGTGGGTGGGTCACCTGCGGCCCCACAGCCGCGGCTCCCAGAGCCCAGCCTTGGCCTCCCGCCTGGGGACCGGAACCTCTGAAGGCTGGGGCTCTCTTAGGGACACACCGGGGCTCTGGGGAAGCCCTCGGATGCCAGATGGCCCCTGCCCGGCCCAGCTCACCTCCTTGAGTGCATTGAAGGCCTTTGTGGCCATGTCTTCATCCTCAGAGCCCTGGGCTGTCCGCTTCAAGATGTTCTGGAGGGTGGGGTCAGGGCTGTGAGGCAGGCCGGGGCCTCCCCCCCCCGCCCCGTGACCCTGCCCACCCGTGGGTGCCCAGAAGGGGCTGTGGAGGTGCACGGCGGCCTCTCCCGCACCCAGCCCTCCCTGTGGCCTGCTGCCCACTAGGTACCTCCACCAGCATCTTGAGGCGGGTGATCCTCTGGAAGGGCAGGATGAGGAACGATGTAAGGGGCAGGCGCTGGCACACGGGAGACTCCTCTAGGCGAGCCAGGATGCCAGGGAACTTGGGGTTCTCCAGGCTGGAAAGTGGGGAGGGAGGGGCCTGAGCTCCTGGGATCCATGACCCAGCCACCCCCTGGTTCTTCAGGGGCTCGCCCAGCCCATCCTTCCTGAATCCTGGTCACAGAGCCCTTTCGGGGGCCCAGCCCTCTCAGTCACCCCCCCCCAGCCCCGGCCTACAGCAGGCGCTGGTAGGTGCGCTCCTGGTAGGCCTGGTTGGTGACGTAGGGCAGGTAGACGCGGCGGAAGGCCGGGCAGTGGCTCAGCACAATGTCGCACACGCCGAAGCGCAGGACGTCGGCCTCCAGGCGCTGCTCCAGGTCCTGCAGGAACCTGAGGGGTCAGCGAGGGGTCAGGGCCAGGGCCAGACCCCAGACCTAAGAGCCCGGCCAGCCAGGTCCCTGCGCGCCGCCGGGACAGGCCAGCAGCCCCTTACCTCTCGCTGGTGCCCTTGACCTCGGGCAGTTTGGAGAACAGCCACTGTTTGTCCTGCGCCCCCAGACACTCGCTCAGCTCCGCGGAGCCTAAGAAGTGGCCCACGGCCACCGACAGGCTGTGGATGTAGGAGGCCTCCGACGTGATCAGTTCAAACTTGGCCTGAGCGAGGGCGGATGCCGGGCTGGACTGCTGACCAGCCCACCGGACGCCCTCTCCTCCCGCGCCCCCCACCTCAAGCCCTGGACACCACCTCCTGGGACAGAGCGCACCCCGAGTTCCCGACCCCTGCTCTAGCCCCGCCCCTTGACCTGGTGCCTGGGGCGGTTCCGGACCCATTTCCTGCGGCGCGCGATCGTTCAAACCCAGCTGGAGCCCTCGAGGGAGCCACTAGCTCAGCGCTTAGG